TTTTGAATGTCTTTCCTCATTCCTGTCCAGTACACAACTGCAGCTAACCGCTTGTAAGTCCTCAAGTACCCTAAGTGGCCCCCCATTGGTGAATCATGAAACTCCTTGATGAGTTCTTTTGTTTTGTCTGAGTGCTTAGGCAGCACCAATTTCCCTTCATAGAAAAGAATTCCATTCTTCAAATTATACCCTTTGGGTTCCTCCCCCTTGATTATTTTCTATTTGAGATCCCTTAAGCATGAGTCTTGACCAATCTTTATTTCTCTCTTCAATTCCCTCATATTGCCACATTGAGATTGCCCTCATCTCCAATTCTGCGTCACAACGCAAAAGTGCATCTGCCACCTTATTCTCCTTTCCCGGTTTATAATGGATCTGAAATTTGTTGTCCATGAGCTTGGAAACCCATTTTTGCTGATCGGGTGCTATGATTCGCTGCTCCAAGAGATATTTCAAAGCCTTTTGATCTGTTTTAATAACAAATGGTTGACTAGACAAATAATACAGCCACTTTTTGACAGCAAGAACAATTGCCATGAGGTCCTGTTTGTAAACCGAACTTTGTTGATGTCTATTAGATAGCTTTTGGCTAAAATAGGCGATAGGCCGCCCCTTTTGCATCAAGACTGCTCCTACTCCTTTTCTTGAGGCATCGGCTTCTATCTCAAAAGGTTGACTAAAATCAAGCATCGTTAATACTGGCACTGTGGTCATTGTGTGTTTGAGCTCCTCAAATGTCTTTTGTGTCCCTTCATTCTACTGGAACGTATCTTTCTTGAGTAATTGGGTTAATGGTGTTGCTATCTTGCTGTACCCCTTAACAAATTTGCCTTAATACCTAGTAAGGACAAGGAACCCTCTTAATGTCTTCAAGTTATGAGGTCACGGCCACTGCACCATTGCAGAGATTTTGGTCGAATCAACCTTCACTCTTTCAACCGAAATTATGTGACCCAAGTATTCTATTTGAGCCTGGCCAAAAACACATTGCTTGTGGTTGATTATAAGCTGGTGCTGCTTCAACAAATCTAGGGTAACTCTCAAATGATCTTTGTGTAATTCCCCACCTTTACTATACACAAGAATATCATCAAAAAATACAAGAATAAATTTTCTTAAATGCTCATGAAATGCAAAAATATCATTCATTAATCCAAAAGGCATAACCTTAAATTCATAGTGGCTATCATGAGTCCGAAATGCTGTTTTGGCTTCATCGCCTTCTTTGATTCGTATCTGATGGTACCCAGACTTGAGGTCCAGTTTAGTGAATACGGTTGCTCCTCCCAATTCATCTAGAGCTCTACAGTCGCAAGTATTGGGTATTTGTCAGGCAATGTGACGTTGTTAAGTGCACGATAGTCTATGCAAAACCTCCAGCTTTTGTCCATCTTTTTGACTAGCAATACAAGACTATAATAGGGATTGGTACTAGGTTGGATGACCCTTGCGGGCATCATGTCTTTGACTTGCCTCTCTATTTCTGCCTTTTGAGCAAAACCATATCTATATGGACGAGTGTTCGCTGGTTGTGCCCCAGGTTTGATGGTGATTTCATGATCATGGGTCCTCTTAGGTGGTAGCCCATAAATTGGTGCACTAACCTCAAGGTATTTATTGAGTATTTTTGTATTTTCTCCTCCATCAGCCTATTGCGCATCTTGTTCTTCTTGCTGGGTTTCGGCCAATTCTACCAAATATCCCACTCCTTCCTCTTTGATTGCCTTTTTAATTGACTGTAAAGAGACTTGGGTATTAGTGAGTGCCAGATCTCCATGTAGGCACACCCAGCTTTTCCCCCCTCTTACCTTCATGTATAGCTGCTGCCAGTTCATTTGAGTCTCCCTCAAGGAAGCTAGCCACTCAACTCCCAATACCAAATCCACATTGCCGAGGCTAAAAGGATAGAAAGGTTGCACAATGGTCATTCCTTGTATCTTGAGTTGCACACTTAGGCACTTTTGGTTTGAGTACATTCGTCGCCTATCACCCACCATCACCGAATACCTCTTGACCTCTTGCGTCGGAATTTGCAACTCTTCTACTAGGTCTATCGCAATGAAATTGTGAGTTGCCCCACAATCAATAAGGATTATCACTCCTCAGCTGTTGACCTGCCCCTTCAATTTCAAAGTCTTTTTTCCTATGATCCCAATTGTTGTCATGATTGCCAACTCCATAGATGTCATCTCCCTATCCTCTTGGGCTTTTTCATTTTCAGGCTCACTAATTTTCTCCTCTGGGCAGCTATCTCCTTCTTCAAGCACAATAAGCCTGCATTGCCTATTTTTACACTTGTGATTTAGGCTAAACTTCTCCTCACACTTAAAACAAAGGCCCAATTCTTGACGTTTGATGATCTCTGCCTCAGATAGTCTTTTCCGTGGAACTATGCTGCCTGAGCTACTCACTGTGGATTGCACCTATCCCGTCATTTTCATAGGTGCCGACTTGGTTTCCTCTTGGCTCTTACCCATGGGAATCCTCATTCCAGACGTCGTGCTTCTAGCCTGAGGGGTCTCTGCCATGCTAAAATTGGGGATGGCTAGCTTATATTCGATCCAGCATTCCCCCAAGACTATTTTAGACGTTCGGTTCCTCTTTTCCTCGGATATCCTCTCTTTTAACCTATTTTGGTCTTCGACCTGACCTGCGAAATCCATAAGCTCCCTCAATCCCCTTGGATGCATCAATCAGACATCTGCATGAATCTCTTCCTGTAGCCCATTCAAAAATGCATCGATTAACATCTCGTAGGGTATATCTCCTAGTGGTGCAGAAAGCAATTCAAACTTCTCTCTATATCCCATTACCGTCCCTTCTTGTTTTAATGCCAGCAGTCGCTCATGTTCATCCCCAAGTTGGCAGTGGTGGAACCTGTTAGTCATTTCTTTTTTGAATTCAGGCCATGATGGCACAAGATGTCAAGTGTCCAACCACTGAAACCAGGCTAATGCCCTTCCCTCCAAACTCACTATGGCAGCATCCAACTTCTAGTGCTCCCCAACCCCATTATCATTGAAATACCATTCGACTCTGAAAATCCAACCCAGTGGATCCTCCCTTTCGAAAAGAGGCAATTCTAACTGATGGTGTTTTAGCCAATCGTTTTGCCCTGTGCCTTCATTTTCTACATTGTGTGCTTCTCCCGTGTTGTTTCCCTCTGGTGGGCCCTCGGGAGGTGGCAGGTTAGCAATAGCAAGGGTCGCCTGAATCGCTTCAAGTTGTCACATGATGATGGCTACTGTATTGTCTACCTGGTGAGTTTTTCATTTGTTTCTCCTTGTTGTCTCTACATTTCTTTGACTGCTTGCTCTAAATATTCGACTCTGTTCTCCATTCTAGTGCTAACCATTCCCTAGAAACCATTGCTCTAATACCAATGTGATAGAACCAGCCCAAACAAGAAGAAATGATAATGGAAAAATTTTGTGATTCTCTAGTATCAAGGGAAAACTATAGAGAATACACCCACTAATATCAGCTTACTTCCTAATGGAATAGTAACACAAATATCACCCACACTCTACCTAGTTTTCGAGAGACCAGGACCTCTCTACTCTCAAAATAAATCTTCCTTACCTATTCCTCCTGCCCTCATCCTCATATGCGCACTACCACTACTCTGACACAGTCACAGGACAAATGTTACCCCGTATTGTAACCATTCTACCCCTACTCAACTCATTGGTTGTCTTGGGCTTTACTTCCTCTGGACTTTCTTTTATACACCCGACCCCATCTCCTAGCTTCAGGCCTATCAAAAAGTAAGTGCGTTATACTGGCACCAAGGCCTTAAAAACTGATGCATTCAAAATTTCAGTATGACAATACTCTACTGCACTGGAATTATTCAAATAAAAATAACACGAAAAAAAAACGTGCCAATATGTGGAAATAGGCAAGATTGTGGGTAACAATAGAACAAAAGTAAAACAGAACTCAACACAACAACAAAAGAAAGAAAATGCAGAAACATAAAGACAGACTCTAGCTTTTGAGAGGTTAAATTCTCTCCAGGATATCATTGATCAAAATAAGCATAGCATTCCTTTGGTCTCAAAGGTCTCTCAATATCCACTCGAACTCCTTCCCTCTGCCAGAACACCATGTCACAACCATCATGTGTCAGTGTTCATTATTCCCAGATATTTCCTTTTCCCCTTATTTGAAGTAGACTAGTGTCTCATTTGCTTTGGTTGAATTAGGCCCAACCCTTTCTCCCTCTTTCTTGTCCATATAATCACACTTAATCTGTTGTTTGGTAAAACATGAAAATAGAACTCACCCTATAACAGTTCAGATTCCCAGGATCTTTCTCTCTAGCATGCTAGAATTTGATAGGCAACACAATAGGGAAGCAGGAAAGCGAGTAGTGAAAAGGATTTAGTTGCCAAGAAGGACAATGTGCTTTAAAGAGTTAATAGAAGCATAATTGCCAAATTTGGAACTTAAGATGTCAAACAACAGAGAAAAGATCAAATACTCTTTTCCATCGCTGCTTTAGTGTTTTGACAATTTGATAAAACTTTCACGACTTACCATAACAAGAAAACAAAGTGAAAAAAGCAAGATGAGCACGGGTGAGAAAGCTGGTTCCAACGTTTATAAAGGAAAACAGTAACATGGAGCATGGAAATTGAAATAGCTGCCATAAATTATCATCATTTTCCTGATAAATTTAAATTAAAAAAAAAAGTATGCTGAGCTAGTGCTTTGGGTCTTGTGGTTAGATTTGGTAAGGAAATTTTACAAAAACAAACATTGGGTCTTTTCCTAACAGCTTGAGCTTATAAGGTTTAGTGACAATATATAAGACTGCATAACAAAGGTAACCACACCTTGCCAAATCAATGTTCCTATAACTAGAATTTTGCATTGACTCTTGCTATAAAGGAAATAGGAACTAAATAATATGAAGAGATTTAGAAGAAAGAAAGAGAGGCACAAAATCAGAAAAATGGATCTTGGCATCTCGCAAGAAGCAAAGCTGTTTGAACCTGATGAGCATATATTGTATCATACACAAGAGTCCAGAAAAATCCAGAGGCATAAAGTGGAAGCACAATAGCTGGATTCAGGCTTCCCATAACTGCAGCCCATCCCAATAGAGCCCCCCAGTTAAAGGTCAACCCAAGAAAGGCTTGAGGCTGTGAAATCACGAGATAAAAGGCTCTGTGAGATCATTCATCAAAGATTGGATTATGATCTATCAATGAAAACTAGAAATAAGGAAACCGTGTTACCCAAAATGTAAACCTCTTCATGAGAGGATAGGAGAAGACAAGCAACAAAGATGAAGCTCCCAAGACACGACTGCCAAAAGAACACAAGCCACAATTATTTAAAATTTAACTAAAAATCATATGTCAGTCAATATTAATTAAAATTATGTACAAAATATACAATTAGAAAGAAAAATTTATTGAAGATGCATCTTACTAGCAAATCAGGTGTAGGAAAATCATTTTAAGTTTTCCAGAATCAATAAAGACAGATTGACAAACCTCTTCCTAAATATAAATGGTGAAATTATCAAGACCATTATTCAGACAATCATCATCTTCATTAGATTACATTAGATAGTTCATTTGCTAACTCAGCCTCTATCAACCTAACATTGTATTCTGTTATAAAACTAAGAATCAAAATTTACTCCGATTTCATGAATAATATAAGCAGTGCTAATTGTATACTTTGGCGAAGAGTAACAGTCCTAATAGAATACAGTCCAGAAGAACTTGCTGCAAGATAAAGAGGCCACTAGGCAAAGAAATCTGTCATGGATAGCAGAAGAAAGTCCACGGTTACAACACAAGAACTTAGAAATTAAAGTAATATTCATGTTCAACAATGCTGAAGTACGGGGATATCCCAAAACTGGATGCTAGTCCACCTGGATTTTTTTTTTCCTATTGGAGCTCATAAAGAAATTTTAGATCTTGGGGCATTTTTGATGGATTTGTGTTGTATATTGCCTTTCCGTAGAGGGATAAAACTTCATTTTGGCCTAAGGTGTAGAGGGGGTTGATGGACCCACAACTTTTGAGCTAGAGAATCTCAAGGCCTATAAGAAGGGAATGAAGACAAATTATTGCACATAGGGCTTACAGTGCTGCATTTTCAGTGACAAGGGGTCCAGATGGAAGAAAGAAAAAGTGTTAGGGGTTGTGCATGTCACAAGGGGCATGAGTTGGGAGAGCTAGGGGAGAGGAGGGGGGATTGTGGTTGGAGGGGTCTCTATAGGGGTTTGAGAGCTGAGAGTAGTCAAGAAAGTATTAGGTTTAGTGGCAAGGCAAGAATCTGGTCTCTTGAATAGCAGGCTGAGGGAGGAGCTGTGCCTCTTCTTCATTTTCTTTCTTTTACATGCTGTCTTCAAGGTCTACCATTCACTTTTCCTAGCATGTTTCCTATCGTAAGCTTATGATCAAGTGCCAAGAGATAAGCTTTGGAAAGCTCTAGAAAAGAAGAGGGTCTGTGTTGCTTATATCAGAGCTATTAAGCATATGTATGAGGGAGCATCAACTAGGGTGAGAAAACCTAGAGGTGAGACAAAGAACTTCCCTATAGGAATTGGTTTGCATCAAGGATCATTCTCAAGTTCTTATTTGTTTGACATGGTTTTAAACATTCAAACTAATCCCATTCAAGAGGAAATCTCAAAGTGCATGCTCTCTGTAGATGACAGAGTCTTGATTGCAGAGGTGAGAGAAGCAATTAATGCTAAATTGGAGTTATGGAGGCGAATTTTGGAATTGAAAGGTTTTCGCTTAAGTAAAAGCAAGATATAATACATGTATTGCAAATTTAATAAAAGGCAAGATAGAAATGAGTGGAGATGAAGATTGAAGAGCAAGCCATACCACAAGTCAAAAAGTTTAAGTATTGGAATTGATTCTACAAAATGGCAGTAAAGTTGATGAAAATGTTATACATAGGATGCAATTAAGGTCAATAAAATAAAGGAAGCATCAGTTCTTCTTTGTGATCACAAGGTTCCTACTAAGCTCAAAGGGAAGTTTCATCCTACCACTGTAAGACTAGTTATGTTATACAGCATTGTTGGGCATTGAAAGGCAAACATGAGCATAAAATGGGGATAACATATACGAGAATGTTGAAATTCATGCATGGTCGTAAAAGAAAGGATAATATTTGTGATGATTGTATAAGAGGACAAGTTGGAATGCCAATTATTAAGGAGAAAATGGTAGAGAAATCATTTAAGAGGATTTGATCATGAGTAGAGAAGATCTAAGACGCACCAGGAAGGAGAAGGGAGTAAATAGTGTTTATCTCTTGAGATGTGGGAATATTTGGTATTTATTGCAAATATTGTATAGTCTTTATTAAGTTTTATTAAACACTATTAGCATTTATTTCCTCTTGTGTATATATGTAGCCAGCTTGTACTCAGTATTGAATCAATGAGAAATATTATTTTCTCTCAAATTCCATGGAGAGATAAATGGAGACCAAAAAGGAACTTAAGGAAGTTATCAATTGAGATCTCTTGGTTAATAGTTTATCAAAAGAGTTGGTTTCAAATAGAGCATAATGGCATCATATGATCCATATAACAACACCATTTAGTAGGATAAGGATACTACTGTTGGTGTTGTTTCATATTGTGAACTTAGAGTATCTTCTATAAAAGCCTCATTCCCTTTATTTGAGAGCCTATTTATTAGTTAACACTGTTTAGAGGAGTTTCATTATGGGTTCTGTGATCCATTCAATATGAATAAGAGTGGTTTTCCCATGTGGTGTTGGTCCAAAAAATATGAATAACAATGATACTTTCTGCCATTCACAGGGATCTTAATAATTTGAAACAACATAAGAGGACAAATTACATAGATAAGTTTTAGGTTTCCAGAAAAAGTGATGGGTCGGAAAGGGATGCTACTTAGCAATATATGTGATATGTAGAACATTAAACGGTTTACTATTTTCAATCAGGGTATTCCTGTCCTGAAGCTTACTCAAGTCAATTTTTATACTTTTGGATCTTCACTTTAAGTCAGTAGAAGTTCAAAGATGCAAAAGAACTTTAAAATAATTTTTTTAAAAAGTTAAGAAGAAAATTTGTCCAAAAGATGCGGTGGACTTAACTGAAAGAGTCAAGAGTGCTTGTGATGTGGGAAGAGCAGGGGATGCTCTACTAAGTCTGGGGCAAGTTTAAGTGTTTTGCTATTTCCGGTGATGGCACCCCTGGAAACCACTCAAGTCAGTTTCTATATTTTTAAATCTTGCCTGAACGAAACAGAGAGCAAAATTTCATAGACATCATTTTTTCAGATAAATAAGAACAAAGGCTGTAAAAAAGACTTGAAAAACAAATTTAAAACAACTTGTTTCCTATAAACGCAGAGGGCCTCACACAGTTCAACCAAATGATGCAAGCAGAATACAGGAACAGAGTTGCTGAAAACACAGAAAGGATTCTACAGAAGAATGTTTTATAGAGTGACAAGAATGGATAGCATTAGTTTCCCAATTTAGGACATGCAATCCAGATCATGGTTCCTGTGTGATGCAGTCTTCCTGCCAATAGGTCCGATTGTAACAAAATTAAGGGCCTGGCACCCTGATATAACAAGGATGGGCCCTGGCCCTAAGTAGAGAATATGCTACTCATAATTAGCACCAACCTATAATTATTTAGTTGTAGAAGAATCCCAAGACCCAAAAGCAATTGAAAACCAAGAAAACAGAGTCCTTGAAATGGTGTCAAAAGACCACTTGCAACTGGTCTGACCTTTGTACGCTCTACCTGCATTATATGTTTACATAACCATTAATTCAGAACTTCAAAGGAAAATCATCAATTGAATAACGACATGAAAAATGAAGTAGGCAACAACAATCTCCAGCATCATACTAAGGTTTGGGAGGCAATCAGTAACTGGCAAATACAAATTCTTAATCCATCATGTTCTCTCATTTACTTGCATCATTTTAGTTGCTTATGCGTGAGCATGGTAATATATGATGATTAAGCCACAGAATGCTCAAGAGCCGCAACGGAATGCTATTTTTGTATTTTGAAGGAGTTGGGTCACAGAATACTTCTCTCTAGCTGTTATGACCCAAGTGAAATGATTGCAAGTATAAGATTGTAAATGAGTGTGGCCAAATTTAAATCCAAAGAGTGATTGTAGATGGTTTGCAAATGGAATAATTTTGTTAGTTACTGAAATGTTTATCAAACCCATCTAAGGGCTAACATTTTTACAGGATAATTCTGAAAAAGACGAGCAGGTGCATGCTTAGATAAATTGGTATACTTCAGGTGTAATAATTTAAAGCACAAGATCACTACCTCCCACTAGAAGTAAAACCAAGGATGAAAATTCAACAGTGAAAGCAACTAAACTACCTTTGTATCAATATCCCGATCAAGAAGATCATTAATAGTACAACCAGCAACCCCTTAAAAGCAATGCACCACATCCAAACAGTGCCAACATTTTAAAATCAGGAAGATGCCCTGGAGTTGCTGCCAAGGTAATTGACCTGCAACATAGGGCATATAAAATCAGAAAAACTTGTAGAAATAATGAGGTAAGAAAAAGGAACTTCAAATAGGAAAGTAAACAAGGTAATAATTACCAAAGAAAATTCTGTAAATAAATACATGGTTAAAACTTACAAAAAAAAAAAAATCATCAACTTAGCAAATTATACCTGGAGTATTTTGTCAAATCATATGATATATCTATCAAGTTATTTTTCAGTTGCAACTGAATTTACAGTTTGATAAGATTTACAACTCATAAATAAGCATTCAAGTTTGCAAGTAGGTAACAATGCCCTATACACAAACGTGTGCAACTCTGCGTGCATGTATTAACTTAGTTGTCAAGTTGGCCATCAAAACTCTTTGAGAAGAATCCCCATGCTTCCTCAACAACAAAGAATCCCTTTGTGAAGGAAAAAGGCAAAAAAAAAAAAATCAAAATAAATATTCTTACCACATACAAGGCCATAAAAGCAACCATGTTCCAATTGGCTTGTCAAGCCGAGCAAGTCGAGCATAGGGCTGAACCCGCCTCGGAAGGTATAAATCAATCCAAGAGAGGTTGGCTGCTGGAAATCTCACGTCACTTTCATTACCACTTAAACTCTTGCGTTCCTTAGAATCCCCTCCAACACCAGAAGACGTAGAAATGTGTGCAACAGAATGGAAATCTGGGTGAAATCTAATACTTTTACAGAATTCAAAATGAAAAATCTGAGGGAGGGATTGCCTGAATGGAAGATTTGAAAGGCAAGGATTCAGAGAAGGAATTAGATAAACAGATGATTGAATGGGGACTGAAGGATCAAATATAGAGCGGCACAGAGACACTGAAGGGCCAGAAGAAGGGAGACAAGATTTAATAGATCTACGTGAAAAACGAGAGACCAAAACAGAAGCCATTATTCGTTTGCAAGCAACAATTTGGATTTGCCTTGCTGCTACTAGCTCCAGAGCAAACTATCTCAAGGAGCCCATATCAAAGGGAATCATTCTGATAAATCAACCGCAATGGGTGCAAAAGTCCACATATGTCAACCCTCTAGTAACTCTCTTCTGATGAGGAGCCTTCCATGAGAACACTGTAAATTTAAAAATTTGGTCACCATATAAATTGTGAATGATATTTTCAAGCAGAAATCTTGAAAATATGGAACATACAATTTAGCAATCCACTACCAGAATTAATTTTCTCATTTTTTTAATATTAAGTCATTTAATTGACATTCCTCAATAACCTTAGAAAACCAATCCCTTTGCAGCACTCAATGAAAGTCCATAGAAGGATTAATGAGATAGTGGATTATGATAGCCTAAAATTTAGGATAAAAAGAGCAAAGCTTCTTCGGATCATCATGGTCTGCACCAAGCAACTGCACACAAAATATCACGTAATGTCTTTCCAAATCTACATTATCCTTTTTCACACACGTCAGTAATCTAACTAGTAACCACCACTCGACACTGTTACTTCATTTTGTGTGATAAAATGATCTTAAAAATCTCTCTATTCCCGTCTCAACTCAATCCACAAAACACAGCTGCAAGAAACCTGCTTTCATCACAAAATCTCTAACCCGTATGATAAAATTTACACCAAGAAGAAGAATTTTCTAGCTCAGAGCTGAACCCTCATCGCTTACACGATTTCAATTTCAACAAGGAAACTTGTTGATGCTAACCATTAATAAGCTTGCTTCCTCCGCCCGCTCATACATATTTCATCATTACATGAGCAAATTCTGCGTACCATGCCAAGCAAATAATCTCAGCTGGGCATGAAGAGGCGGTGAAGACAACCCCTACAACAGGCAATTTACAGCCCAGGTTTAAAATGGGGGGAAAAATCATGGGGAGGTACCAATCGAGCTAAAAGCATATTCGACTCGTCAGCGACGCGCCCGAAGAGAATGTTATAGCTCGTCAAAAATGGGCTGATGGTCGTGACATGAGAGAACAAGAACACGAGAAGCTCTAGGCTTCGCTCATTAAGCTGGAGTCCAAGAATCCATACGACTGCTAGAGTGTCAGAAGTGAG